TTTTGGAGGTTTCTTTGGAATGGCTTTCAAAGTTCATGGTGAAAAGTCATCATTACATGAGAGTGGATTCACACTTTACCAGGTTAAGTTTAAGTACTTTACCAGGTAAATTTTTAAATTACTTGTTTGATTTCTATAAAGTTAAAACTTAATTGAATTTAGTGTTCACAGTTATATTAATTTTCTAAACCTTTCATAACAAAATACTACAAACTGTGTGGCTTAAACAACAGAAGCATATCTTTCACAGTTCTGGAGGCTGGAAGTAGAAGACAAGGTATCAGCAGGGTTGATTTCTTCTGAGGCCTTTCTTCTTGGCTTACGGAAGTCAGCCTTCTTGCTGTGCCTTCACATAATCTTTGCTCTGCGAGTGTGCCTTCCTGCTGTCTCTTCTGTTTTGGCCTAAGCTTCCCTTCATATAAGGATACCAGTCAGACTGCCTTAGTGTCCACCATAACAACCTCATTTTAACTTAATTACTTCTTTAAAGGCCTTATCTCTAATTACATTCACATTCTGAACTACTGAGAGTTATGGCTCCAACATCTGTATTCTGAGAGGACCCAATTCAATCTATAACAACAGTGTTCACCAAATCATAAAATGTGTTCTAATTCATTTTTGGGTTGGCTCAATGTATCCAGCAAGTCATTAGTGACACACAGGCTTAGCATATTGAAAGTAAGTAAGTAAAAAGATAAGTAAAAAAATGTAAACATAAAAGAAACAATATTGAAAGTCATTTTAATTAAATAAATAATCCCCCAATATTGTTGCCACATTCTGGACACTATTGCTTTGTTATGTTTTAATTAAAAGACAGGCTCATTGGCTAGATTCTTGAAATAGCCCAAATTCTTTCTATATGTAATTTTTAAAAAAGTAATTGCTGCCAATGAAAATCTATGGCGTTCTGGGCACTGTGGATAGATCTTTTAAAAACATTACTTCACTTATTGTCACAACAGCTCAATGAAGTAGAAATTATTATCCCTGTCTTGCTAATAAAAAACCCAAGGGTTAAGAATTTTAAATACTCTGACTCAAATCACATGGCAGTAAGTGATAGAGCCTAGATCCCAACACAAATCTGCTTGTCATGAAGGCCCATGTTTCCATCAAACCAAAATAATCATTTGCTCCTCATAGTCATTCAAAGCTAGTAATACTCAATTCAGTCAGATGAGATATTTCTATAACTGGGTAAGAATATCAAGGGTAAGAGTCATGTTGCAAATATAAATCCTACTTTTATTAATTGATTACCTAGGATGTATTAAGTACTGTGCTAGGCACTGAGGTCAGGATAATAAACAGGACTTAATCTTTCAAGAAACTCACAATCTGGTGAGAAGACAGACATTTACACAATGAACTGAAATGGAACAGAGTAAGTCCCAGAGTCTTTCATTCAATCAGCATGTTGCCTAAGGCATTATTTATTAAAGGTATAAAGTCTTCTAGATTATAAGATATACTAAATACTACAGTAATTCTTACCATGACACATGTGAATATCATTTCAAAATAAAACAATAACTAGACAAATGGCAAGAAATCCTGCTTTCATGTTCTTAAGGCACAGTTTTAACACATTCTATTTCAGTAAATTACAACAAAGCTCAGCTGAACTGTTTCATTTAACTTTTACTATAACATTTTTACAAACCAGTTTCTGATCAATGATGCCTTGGCTGTGGAACTGAGTACGTGGTAATACTTATCCTTCTATAGTTTAAAATCCAGCCCTCTATTTACCAAGCATAAAGGCAAATGCCAGTTAAACTACTCTTAGTTCCATCCTTCTGATGTTCAAGTGCAGGAACAATTATCTCCATCAATATTTAATGGCCTAATCCTAAGCAGAAAGTGCCACAGTGTAGGCAATAGTTCTGTTAACATGCTGTTAATTTTCAAGCATAGAGGCAGAAATGGACTATACAGTTCCTGAAAATGCACAGCAGTACATTTCCCTAAGGTGAAATTCTCTCCGCATTCTCCAGTCTACCTTCATCGATAATAAGGGAATTAGAAACATTTCAGAGTTGTGTTCAGTGGGTTAAGCTTGTTCACTCTTTAAAATTCATGGAAAGAATAAAGCTTTCCATTTTCCAGTTTTTTTAAAAACAAGGTTTTTGCATCTCCCCAATTCAAGTCCCATATCTCATGACCTCACCTACCTGCAATTTTATTTTGTTTGGCTTGGTCTTTTTCTGATTTAATGTTTTAATTAGCCATTAATATGTAACAAGAGTCATTGCCTAGATACTTGAAATCTCGACCATTGGTGGACTTCAATTAGAAATCTTTCTATAAAATGTGAGATATGAATGCCAGTATAACAAAAGTCACAAGAAATTTTAATGCAGTTAATTTTTACAACTATACAATGAATAGGGAGAGCTTCAGTAGCCTAAATAATTTTATTGAGATCACAGTGTTAACTGTTTACAATTAGTTCTCTTTCTTCCCAATTCTTTTAAAAAGGTTGAAGAATGGGTGGAGGGATAGAAGAGGAAATCTTCCAGTAAAACCTTCCTTGGGAGATGCCCGGCCTGTGTGACTCAGCGGTCGGGGACATGCCGAGACTTCGGGCTCGACCCCGGTAGGCGGTGTGCAGGAGGCAGCCAATGGATGATGTTTCTCTCTCATTGATCTCTCTATCCCTCTCCCTTCCTTTCTCTCTAAAAGAACACAAAAAACATATTTTCTTTTAAAAAAAAAAACTTCCTTTTGGAGAAAACTTACAGGAAATGTTGGCAGAAAATCATGTAAAGATTCAAAGAGCAAGAGTAGCAATAGAAGAAACAAACAATCTTTCTTTATGTGTTTACTAAGAGACTAAATACATTCCTGGCAGTTGTACTTGAGAATGAAGTTTGTATTATCATTCTTACGACTTCAAGTTTGACCTTAAAAATTATCTAACTTCCTGTAAGTCTGATACAATTGATTTTTAAACTCAACTTAGTTATGATTTTCCGCTGACTATAAAATTTCTGCAAGTTTCCCTCTTTAAAGTGATGTATTATTTAAAATCCTTTCGGAACACTTCCATTATTTTTCTTCTTTTTTTATACGTCATGAGTATTCAGATTTTCCAAGTGCTAAATAAATGTCAAATAGCTTGTCAATCTTAAAGAATAAAGCTTAAATACATTTATCCTAAGTATAAAGGTAATAAATAAATTCTTCAATTGTCCAACTGGAGTAAAAGCAAGCAAGTTTGATCCATTTGGTAAACAAATACAGTAATGGTAACTCATACTAAAACAGAATATTTCTGATAGCCATCATTTTTCTGTTTGGAAAAGTTTTAAAGGTTTTTGTCACAAAAACAGGAATGTACGTATACAAAGGCTCCAAATAGGCCATCTTTCAAGCAAAAAGGCCATGATTCACAAAAGACTGAATAGAACATGTAACTAATTGATACAAATCTAATAGGATTTGTTAAAATCAGTCACATCTAATAACACATCTGAAGTGTTCTTGTATAAAATACCACATGAGGAAGACTTTATCAATGTCTAAAAAAGTGGGTTTATTCATAGAAAATCTGACAAGTTGCCATAAAAAGTGTTTCCTGAGACATAAGGAAATGCAACATTATTCTTCTTGTACCTTTCAGCTCCAGACTCTCATTCAATAAAATAGCTGAAGATCTGAACTGAAAAATATTTGAGTACAAACATCTTGTGAAACAATACTTTTTTTACTTTTTTTGCATCATTAGAGGGTATTACTTAACTCACAACCAACTCTCCCGCTCCCTACGCAGTTCAAATGGGAGACTTCTCTGTACAGGAGCAGGGACTGTCTTAGGTCCCATGCTTGCAACCAGACATCTGCAACAGTTCTGAACAAGCAAACAGTTCTCTCTCCATTTTGCAGTAACTTAATCTTCCTATTAGCAAAAGAGGTAACCAGCCCCGTGGACCAAAGGGACCAGAATCACAGGATGGGGATTGCCTCTTAATATTTTTTATTTTGATGATTGGAACATTTTTTTAAATTTATCTTTATTGTTGAAAGAATTACAGATGTCCCCTTTATTTCCCCATTGACCCCTTCTACCCTGCACCCACTCCCTGCCCCAGGCCTTTACCACACTACTATCTGTGTCCATGGGAAATGCATTTATGAATACAAATTCTTTGGTTAATCTCTCCCCTTCCCTTCCCCTCCCCCCTGCTCCA